GCGTGCGTGCGTGCGTACGTGCGTGCTTGCGTGCGTGCGTGCGTTCGTGCGTGCGAGCGTGAGTGCGTGCGTGCGTGCGTGCGTGTGTGCGTGCTTGCGTGCGTGTGCGTGTGCGTGTGCGTGTGCGTGTGCGTGTGCGTGTGCGTGTGCGTGTGCGTGCGTGCATGCGTGCGTGCGTGGGTGCGTGCGTGGGTGCGTGCGTGCGTGCGTGCGTGCGTGAGTGCGTAATTGCGTGCAAGCGTGAGTGCGTGCGTGCGTGCGTGCGTACGTGCGTGCGTGCGTGCGTGCGTGCGTGCGTGCGTGCGTACGTGCGTGCTTGCGTGCGTGCTTGCGTTCGTGCGTGCGAGCGTGAGTGCGTGCGCGCGTGCGTGCGTGTGTGCGTGCTTGCGTGCGTGTGCGTGTGCGGTGTGTGTGTGTGTGTGTGTGTGTGTGTGTGTGTGTGTGTGTGTGTTTGTGTGTGTGTGTGTGTGTGCGTGTGCGTGTGTGTGTGTGTGTGTGTGTGTGTGTATGTGTGTGTGTGTGTGTGTGTGTGTGTGTGTGTGTGTGTGTGTGTGTGTGTGTGTGTGTGTGTGTGTGTGTGTGTGTGTGTGTGTGTGTAATCCTATCGATATAAAAAATGATGATAATTATCGAAAATTATTGGAACGACATATCCTCTCGTCAAGGCCTGAAAACAAGATTATACAACCAGTGCGTTTTGCCAGTGATGGCTTATGGATTTGAGGTCCTTCAATGCTGGCCGTATAAGTTTAAAGTCACTCAGCAAGCTATGGAGAGGGCTATGTTTATCTGCGTGATAGATTTAAAAACGAATATCTACAGTAGAACCAGAGTAACCGACATAGCCCAACGGATTTGTACGCTGAAGTGGCATTGGCCGGCCATATATCTCGAAGAACCGACAACCGATGGGGAAGAAAGGTTCTCGAGTGGCAGTCTCGTACCGGTAGGCGAAGTGAAGGGCGGGCATTACTAGATGGGGGTGATGACCTGTTAAAAACGCGGGAAGTCGATAGATACTCGAGGCTCAGGACCGTGCTTTTTGGCAAACCATGGGAGAGGTTTATGTTCAACAGAGAACTTGTGAAGGGCTGAAATAAATCAAATAATTTATTGGTTATACCGTTCGGTACACCATAGTCATCGTAGGTTTTTTTAAAGAAGGCGTACGGCCTACCAGATGATGTGATCACCGCCGCCAACGTCCGCACCAGAGGCACTGTAGGTGCTGTGACAATTTAGAAAGAAGCACACTTTTCTTGGAGGAAGATTATAGCTGATGATTAATTTATAATTTTACGCTAATAGTCATGATCGGCAGCTGAATTGCAATTCCTGATATCTCACATCATTATAATGTCGCTATTTTCTCAGCGTCGGTCTTAATAATTTATAATAGCATATCATCATCATTACAACCGATAGAACTTTAGGCCTAAGTTCAGTAGTAGACTTTTGATAGTGTAGTTTTTCTGTAGTAGACTTTTAATAGAAAAGTCCGCTACTGAGCGTAGACCTCTCCAATAGATTAGCTCATAGTCAATTTGTCATAGTTGCCCCGCTTGGTAGGCGGATTGGCAAACACTGTTATTAGTTCGATGCTGCTGTCCGTCTATTGATTCTGTTTATCGTCGCATACCTTCTTTGACACGCACAGATGGCACTTGAAACACAAATACTATTTCTATGATATCTGCTATATCAACATATATCAATAGTATCATAATATGTCACTTAAAAATTCAGTTTATACGTGGTAGAACCACCATGCAGCTATATTATGATTGTAGCACAATCGGGGTCGGCTCAACCGGAGAAAGACCACGCTCTCACAGAATAGCAGCGTAAAATAGCAGCTTAATACTGCTGTGTTTCGTATGGTGAGTGTAGAGATCCGGAGTACCTTTTTTACTGGAAACCAGGCATTCCATCTTAGTCCTCAGGGGTGACAACGCATCTGCGTTATGATCCTTAATCGAGGATAAATGTAGATGTCTATTGGCCACAACACCCACTTACCATCAGGTGGACTGTGTATTCGTTTGTCACCCTTATTCTATAAAAAATAATACAGGCTCTGAATAAAGAAACAATTCTGTGTACTGTAAAATAACATTTTATTTTGTTCTTCGTATTTCACTGAAGCCATATCGGGTACATAATACAAACATTCACTTAGGCTATTTAAACGAATACGTATTTATTATTATTTAAAGACATCGATAACATATAACATACAATCACATTCATCTGGCACTCAGTCATATAATATGACACATTTTTTGTTAAAATCAACATACACGTACGTCATTCCGCTTAAATTACAAGTTTTGGACAATATTTGTATTAAAAAATAAATGATGTACAAAATGTTATTCATCTGCCAGAAAATAAAATTAAGATAAGCCTAGCCGAACAGAATTTAAGTATAACAGCTTCCAGATAAGATATAAAATTAAATAGTTCATTAAAAGTGTAAATGATATAACAAAAACATATAAATAAATAAAATATTAATAAAATAACATAAATAAAATTTGTAAAATCTTTAGATATAAAAAACTGATTTGGTTTGTTATTTGGTTAATTTTAATTAAAACATTAGGTGTTAACGTTGATAAGAAAATAGTGTTTCTTAACTCTATTGGTAACAAAAACACAACACGACGCGTGTGTGTAGTTTAAAAAATCATTCGCAAGCAACCTAGCGACCTATGTATTGCACAATGTATCAAGTAATTGGAACGGTGAATAATACTTGTTATAGTTAGTTTGTATAATTGCAGGAGGTACATCGATTGTTTAACATTAATTAATAGAAAACTTACAAGCTAGCGCCAAATGAATCGCAACTTAACCGATAATTTCTAGTTGAGAGTACTAAGGGGTGCATTAAAATGCCTAAGAGTTAACCACCCTGTTTTATCCATAACGCGTTTTAAATACAATAATATACGAGTATATAACATTAAGTAATTTTACTAACTTTAGAAGCTAAATACGTAGAAATGAGGACAAATTATTCCTATTTTTAAACGTTTTGTCTTTAAAGTCGGTCTTACAATTAAAAAGCGGAACAGTAATTAACAAGAAATCAACGAAAAACCTATTTAAAATACTTTTAATTGAGTTTTAGCAGTACAATACAAATAATTTAAACCAGCACTTAACTTTAGCAGCAATATTTATAATATAAGTAAAGATTTATTCAAAATAATACAATAAATGTTATGATTTCTTTTATTTACTCGAACATTGCACATTTAAATAAAACTAGATTATACGAATTTTATCGGGTATATTAGCTTATTTTTTATTCCTGACGTTACGAGTACTTTATAGCACCCATGCTCACGGGTCCGACTGAGATGTTTGACGTCACAATGTGATAGTTAACCACAGAGTAGCTTTTAATTTTTGGATTAAAATTACTAATTTTTGAACAATTAAGCTAATATACGCGATAAAATCCGAAAAACTAGTTTTACAAAAATGTTATTAAGTAACATTTCAAATTAATTTAATATAAAATGCTTCGCAATACCTTGAAATCAGAGTTTGTATAAGAATTTTTTTACTTCATAACTTAATTGAAAAAATGTAAAGTTAAGGGTAGTAACTTTATTACCAGCCTAAGTGCGAATATTTTAATCCTCTATATTAAACATTTTATTGAAAAAGTTGAGTGAAGTTTGATTATTTAATAATTATCTATTAGTAATATTTTATACACCGTATTTTCCTATGATCGCCATTAATTTAATTACATATGTATTAATTATAGTTACAATACGTTTTTATATATAATTTGTGGTATAATAGACATTATTTAGCTTCGTGGAATTGCTGAAGTGTGGTTTAAACAAATCTTTGCGTTACTTTAGAATATTTAAAAACATTCAAAATAAGTTATATAAAAGATTAATAATGTCAAAGATTGACAAAGCCACTTCAGTTCTTATCCCACGACTAACTACTGTTTTGGTGTTGATCCTTTTGCGGGCCTGGACGGACTTTTATGTCCTCAGGAACTCTATTCTAAACATATAACATACTCGTATTATTACAACATCAAACACTTTAATATTGTTCCAATAAGCCTCTAGCTTTTTTAAACTAAAATTGAATTCCATTTGCATCGATCTTGTACTCGTATGTACAATTTCATCCACTATTTTCATTAACTAGTATTTTTTTATTTACACTTATTAAAAATGGGATACACTTATTAAAAAATAATATAGATGATCGCTTAATATTAACATGAGCTTAATTTCATTAATTTGTTCTTGTGTTATGATAATCATAGAAATAAAATACTTATATTACTGTCTATAAACAAATTCTGCTTATCAAAGTCGGAAAAAACAAACAAAACAAGAGTAAGCCTTCTATTTTTAGATGAATTAAATTTTTACATCTAAATATATTATTATTCTGTTGTAAATACACGAATTCTATGAATTCCCTTCTCTTGGTGCAAAACTCTATGTTCCCTTCTATCTAGCATTTAATTAACGTAAATTTTGCTTACCGCGGTATTCCTATAAAATTAGCACACTTATCGATTAAAATATCACACATGAATAAACAAGTTAAATATATACATTCTAAGTTTAATGACACAATGCACTGATGTCACCTTACCTGGTTCTATTGATACAAGTTTATTAATGAATCTCCTAGTTTATGTTATTCTAAATAATAATATGTAATCCCAAATCCTTCACAAAAAATTATTTCAATAAATATTTAAGTTTGTGCACTGTTTTAAATAAAATATCATTAATCATTTTGAGTAATACCTTCAATTCGATACTAAATGTAATTCCAGTCCATATACAAATAAAATTTCCTTTTTTACTCTATTGATCTCGCAGGCACTTTGGTATCAGAAGAAAATGAAATGGAAACGTTTAGTGTACGCTTGTTTGAAATATCAAGTACGTAGTAGATACAGTTTATTATCGGAATCTTTTTTAGAAAATCAAAAGATTTTATTAAATATATGTACTAAGTGCTTGTCTGAAGTCGTGGAGGGCAGCTAAAAGTTGAGGAGCTGTCGGTCGTGCAGATGCTAACGTGGTCCAACACCATGACATAAGCCCATACCTGAATTTAAATTAATATTTTTATAAAACATAACAGTGTAGCTTACACCCTAATGAATTAAAACTATATGCTTTCAAACAAAACAAACAATACAAAATTTACACCTTTTAATAAAAAATTCACATTTTGTAAAATATATTTTATTATATTTGAAAACTGAATGCATTAATATCTTAGATGTTCTGGGTGGAGTTCTTTATACTATGTTCAAGATAACAGTAACTAGCTATTTGTGCAAATTTTGAGATGGTTTCTTACAATGAGCTAAAATTGAATAAAACTGATTTAACGGTTTTTATCGAGCTTAATTTTAATGTATTTTTAATTTTCGAAATTTCTGGTGCTGTACAATAACCGTGGTTACCTCATGGGGAACTCAGGTGTTGGTGTTTCAATGTTATAGTTAATCCAGGCTACCTTTAGCTTTAAGATATTGTTAATTTTTTGTCCGATCCATGCAGAACGAGCTTACAGTATCTTGAAGTCTTGCATTGGTATGCTTAGGATTGGATTAAATTTTATTAATTATGGGATCTTGAGCAGATAGTATCCAGACTTCTTCTCTACTGTAATTATGATATTTTTGATTTTAAAACAGAAATTAGTGTTCAATATTTATTTGCGTATGTATTTCTATAAGATAGATAGAACAGCTGCATATGATAGAGTATCAGTCGAGATGCTAAGGGCTGGAGAGGAAGTGGTGGCAAGCCTACTTACTGTAAACCTTGTTTAATTTATGTTGGGAATTGATACGGGTACCGGAAGACTGGTGTAAAGCAGTCATAGTACCAATATATAAAGAAAAAGGGTCACACCAGGATTGCAAAACCTACCGTGGTATCAGCTTGCTTAATATTGTGGGTAAACTGTACGCTAAGGTGTTACTCGTAATTAAAAGAGCTATGAAAGAAACTAATGGAAAAATTTGGTATGTGCAAGCGGGATTTAGAAAGGGAATGGGATGTACAGATCAAGTCATTTCCATGCGCACGATTGCGGAAAAGTTTTTGGCCAAAACCAGGGAGTTTTTTGAGCGTTAATGGACTTAGAAAAGGCTTATAACAGAGTGGAAAGAACTGTGTAAACACTGAACTCATTTGGGTTGAGCACTCGTTTGTTACAGGCATCAAGGTCTTTAAGGTCTTACGTTTATAGGAACTCCAGTGCTTGTGTCAGGATCAACGGGGTCTACTCAGACTGGTTTGGCATCCAAAAATGTGTCAGACAGGGCTGTGTACTTGGCTGTTCAACCTTTTTATGAACAGTTGTTTTGCAAACTTTGAATGATGAAGAATGTGGGTTAATAATGGACGAGTAAACCGTCAAATTCTTTCTGTACGCCAATGATCAAGTCATATTTGCGTCGTCGGCGACAGAGTTGCAAATGATGGTTACATTAATGAACTGGACATTGAAAGAAAGGGGAATGAAAGTGAACCCAAGTAAGATGAAAGTGATGGTTTTTAAAAGAGAAGAAACCTAATGAAGACACCGTGGCGCAGTGGCTTAGAAATGAGTGGCTGCGCTGGGGGTCGTGGGTTCGAATCCCGCACGGAACAAGTATTTGTATGACCTACAAATAATTGTTCCTGGTCTGGATGTTAGTTCTTATGCAATTTATGTTTGTAAACTGCCCCCACGATATAGGAGAAAATCCTAGTGTAGGGGTAACGTTTTTAATATAAAAAAATGTTATACGAAATAAGAATAGAAGGGGAGTTGATTGAGCAGATGGATGAGTTAGTGTATTTAGCAGGGATAGTAGATATGATAAGGATACAGAACGACGAGTAAATGCAGTAAATAGAATGAATGGGGCACTACACTCTATTATGAAGAATCAGATGTGTCAAAAAAGGTACGTATGATAACTCATAATACTATGTTAATCCCTGCTTTAATATATGGTAGTAAAAGTTGGGCGTGGCAGAAGAAGCACAAAAGTAGAATAAATGCTGTAGAAATGCGGTCTTTAATGAGTATGCTAGGGTCGAATCTGAATGACAGGATGAGAAATTGTGTGATAAGAGAAAAATGTGTTATGCAAGATGATGTTGTGACCAGGACTAAGAAAAGAAGCATTCCTGCTTCGATGGTTTGGTCATGTAAAAAGAATGAATGAGACAAGAGTGACAAAGCAAATTTATATGGCAGATTTGAACGGCAGAGTCGGAAAGGGAAGCCCTAAAAGAAAGTTTATCGACCAAATTGGCGATATTTTGAAAATGTGCCACATTAGAAGTACCCTTAACCGACGAGCATGTATGCGTAGATATATGGATGTAAAGGAGGCGAAAGAGGTATGTCAGTATCGTGCCGAATAGAAGTCCGTAGTCTTTAACTACACTTCTGGGTAACAGGCGTGAGTGTTTTTGTATCTTTTGCGTTAAAGACAAAAGTTGACGTGCTTTTTGTACTTAACGTAGGTTAAGTTAATCTTGATAAAATCCATAAAATTAGTTGTAAACAATGTGTAACGATTGTGTCATAAATTATGGCATGTTAAAATATTGTCTTGATATCTCTAATTTGTGAGCTTTAAAGCACTCTGCATTGAATCAAAAAATTCAAGAAGATCGCTAAAATTATGAATTTTGAAAAGTCACAATTAAAAATTGTCAGATATTCTGCTAATAAATCGAAACACAAAAACAATTTTCCTAAAGCGTTTTCCAAATAACAATGTGTGAAGATGAAACGAGGGTTAAGGGTATGACAAGTATGACAAGTATTCTTAATATCAAAAAAATAAAAAATCTTATTTTGACAGTGATTGTGACCAGTTTAATCAAGCATGTCGCCAATCATTCTCCAAAACAATACTTTGTGCTTACTCATGCGCCTAAACCTGTACATTAAGCTGTTTAACAAGAAATACGAATCAAAAAGTATTACATGTTTGCCATCAAGTGATCGTCTCAAAATTCCTTTACACTATTGTCAATGTTTTTATAACTACAACAAGGATTCTCATACTCACAACTCATCAGGACAATTATGCGGTTGCGACGGTCTGTAGCCTCCACTTAGAAAAGCACCGACATCTGCTGCGTCCAATTCGGCTAATGGCGAGGCGGCTAACGTTGCCAGCTCCCATAATGTTATGCCTAAAGACCACTGCGGTAAAGAAAAAACATTTTTCATTAGTATCTTTTCTTCACAGATTACATCACAGATATGCTCGTACTCAAATTATGCTCAAACTTACGATTCATCATCATCATCAATGTAATAATCATCATTATAGCCCTTATGTGTGATCTTGTCTTGGCCCAATACTTGCGCAAAATATGGCACAAAGCATAACTGTGTCTCCTACATCCATTGACTTTCTGCATACCGCTTACCGGTACGAGGCTGACACTCTAAAATCCTCTTTCGACATCGGTTGTCATATCTTGCTGTGTAGCTTATCCATTGGCTAATTGAACCAATGGATAGGTTTGTTCTTTCGTTACATATAATGAAATGACATTATTCTTACCACATCCGAAGCCGTGGTATAATGGTTTTGTAGCAGCGACTCCGGTGCCATCCACTTCACTGGTCGATTCTCATTGTCACCGAGGCAGTGATAGTCATCAGGGAAAAGGTCCCTCGACAGACCATTGTCGGTCACTTTCAGTCTCAATTTCTCGTCTACTCTGTATATCAAATCAAGTTAACATAAATACAATAATATACCGGATTTCATACTACCCACAAATATAGATATGTAAATAAAAAAATCGATACAATTAATTAATAATATACGTTTTTTTTTTGAATAATTATAATTTTTTGTGTGTATTCGCGAACATGCCAAAAGAAAAGTAATTTTCGTTTCGTGGGATATAAGCATATATAATGTTAGAATTTTGCAAAATATTTTATCTCAACTATCGTCCAAAAACTTTACACTATTCTAAGCTGGGTTTTGAAATTAAGATCGAGACATTAACCTGTTTATGTTCTGTTTAATTATTATGGAAGGTATGATGAGACCATTTAGTATCAAATTTCCTTTTATTAAAAAAAAATAAAAACTAAATTAAATTGTCTTACATGCAATTCCTGGCAGCGACATCAGCATGCACAACTCGCTGTATGTGAAGGTAGGCTAAGCCACAAGCTGCTTGAGCTCCCAAGTCAACCAGCTCCCTTGTAGCTGGTGTTGTTTGTTGGCCCAGTCGACACGATATCAAGAATCTAAGAAGAATACAATTTTGATGGAATGAAAGAAAAAGTTTAAAATAGACAAGTTACATAGAAATTATAACGAGACAAGAGTTGCGACGCAGTCAAGAATATCGTCAAGAACCAGCCAGCTAATTATAAAATTATTAACCTTCCTATACCTGCGCGTTGATTTGTGAGACCACCAAGTTTCTTAACTTTCCGCTAAAAAAATTGAAAATTTTCAAAAATCGAGAAGTTATTGTCTTTACCCCGTTTGTTGAAAATTGAGTTTTCAAAAAATCTTGATGTTTTGAGGTCACAGGAAGTCACCTTTACAATTTTTCGATGGTGTCTGTATGTATGTGTGTGTATGTCAAACACACACACATACACCGACCGGTAGATTTTGAGAAATCTTAAAAAAAACTTTGAATAACTCCTTTTTGGAGTCACTTTTAAACTAATTCACCGATCGATTCCAAAACTAATCAGCATTTAACATTGAAAATCCACGTTGAATGCCGCTGGTCCGGTCAAAATCGGTTGACTCATTCGTGAGATATCGCCAACAAAAATTTTGAAAAAATTGAGTTTTTTAAATTACTCCGATGTTTCATATTCAACGTCATAATTTGGTGAAATTTGGAGCGCTTTGCATTTGAAATTAGCGGAAAGTTCCAGAGATGGCCTGCAGGGTCAACTAATTTTTTTTCTTATAACGTAAGTGTGGAAAATGTCTACACACAAGTAGGACATATTGCCTTAGTTTGCGTTTATCGGTTTCTAAGATCGACACGGATATAGGTGCAACGTTTTGTGTAAATAATGACGTTTTTTGTTTTTATAAGTGTTTAATTTTTATAACAATACATAAAGATCGATTAAGATCGGTTAAAATATTTGTTGTTTCTTGCGCAGCTTTTAAGAAAACCGCTTAATGTTTCATAGGCTCTAATGAAAAACTTCTAGTCAGTAAATACTATGTCGTCTATTTTGTAAAAACATAATTTCACTATAGTTTTCTTGAAATAAATTCATAAAACATAGTCCTAAACTTGCGGTCTATGAGACCGTGCATAGGGTTTAGGTGTTATAAAATGCCGCGCGGGTAAAGGCTGATTAAACATGTCTTCCTAAAAAAATAGCTTAATGTTACAGTTCATTAATGTAACATCGTTATGAAATAATAAAGCTGCATATTTATTACTTATTACTAGTATCTATATTATCAAGAGTGAGGTAACCGTGTTGCGATATCGTGTTGTCAGATAAGTTACCAAACTTGGTTGTTTGTCACACCAAGCTGATATTACTTTCGTTCTTTATCACCACCATTGCAATTGCAGAAAACGAAGCAATCCTTTTATATATTACGCTGGAGTTGAAAGACAGCACCACACATTTGAATGTCATTTTTTAACTATAGTTATATGGTTTTTTTTATAGGATAAGGTGAAAAACGAGCATACAGTCCACCTGATGGTGAGTGGTTGCTGTGGCCCATAGACATCTACATATATCCTCGATTACGAATTAAAATGCGGATGCGTTGTTACCCGTGAGGACTAAGATGGAATGCCTCGTTTCCAGTAAAAAGAGTCTCCGGTTCTCTACACTCTCCATACGAAACACAGCAGAATTAGCTGTTATTCTGTGAGAGCGTGGTCCTTACCCGGTCGAGCCGACCCATTCGTGCTACAACTATACTTCTAATATAACTGCAGCATGCTTCTAACATCTATAAACGTAGCTATTTTTTATTACTAGTTAGAAAGACGTAAAACGTTTTCTACGGGCCTCGTACTCTATCATGAATGGCATCAATCCTGCCGATGATCTTTTTACTCATCGGTAACTACATGCGACACCCATTTTGAACAACACTTACGGATAGAAAATTTATGTTGAAAGATGGTTTACATTTCTCCTAATTAAACACATAGTTCTTGCTCAAACTCTACATATTAACACTTTCACTGTCCGATTTTAGACACAATAGAAGGACAATAACAATGACCTATATGCAGTACACGGGACAGCGAAAGGGTTAATATGTAATTCGTAGGTTTTCTCTCAATAGGTTTATCGACAGTTCGAACATTTGCATAGCTAACTGTCTTCACTTTATTTTTAAAGCCTACCTGTCCTCGTTTGATATAACTAAACTTATTAAAACTATAGCTCGTGAACAAATAGACTCAGCAAAATTAGTAGATAAAATAAATGTTCAAATAATTCGCTTCATTTCAACTTAACAGCATTAAATGAGAAAAAAGCATTTTCAAATCTATTTTTAATTAGCTAACATCCGACCTTTAGAGTTATGAATTTATTGCCAGTGTCAAACAAATGAGTAAAGTAATATTTTTTTTGAATACCCTTGTATCCAATGTTGCTTAGTGACTACAGCAGAGATGGGTTTAAGAGAGCTCAAGCGTAGAATTAGTATCTGATAAGAATTTATCTATTAGTAGAACAATAAGTTCTACAGCCAGTGTCTTTGGTGAGAAAGGTTGTTAGTTAGTTAGGTTTTCACGTGATAGAGCCACGCTGCAGCTATATAAAGCTGTAGCATGAATGGGTGGAATCGACTAGGGTATGACAACGCTCTTACAGAATATAAGCTTTAAATAGCAGAATAATTTCGCTGTGTTTCATACGATGAATATGGAGAACCGGAAATCCAATTAACTGGTAACGAGACATTCCATAATATTCCTCAAGGGGGATAACGCAGCATATCTTAATCGATGATTAATATAGATACTTACGGGTATTATATAAAAATTTAGGTTATTCTATAAAAATGTGTCAAGCAAAATGTTATAAAACACAAAATAATATGCGACCCACAATATAAAGTTAGTGTTCTGAAGTACGGTTAATAAATAATATTTGTTAGTAAGGTTATGTAAAACATTATATTAAAAATATTTATTCTATAATCTTACCTCTTTAGATTGCAAGAATGTGAAACGCAACAGTAAACTAAAAGTGGTTTCCGTGCTTCTTCTGCACAAGCAGCCATAGGGGCAAGGACATTAGTGTGGACGAGGCCGCAAAGTCTTAAGCCTTCCGCAACTAATAATGCCGCTTGCATCGCTGATGCGGCTTCTAAAATATAAAGGAATGAACAATAAATACGAAATGGGATGTATTTATATTATATTATTATGTAATATTTATATTTTCCGGTCAATTTCACACTCCTATCATCGGAATTAAAAACTGCATCGGGTACCACTTTTCCTCTGATTTTACGTTTTAATAATAAACCTTAGACTGATATCACTATCAATTACTTTGAATTAATTACATAGTACTATATTTATCTATTTAAGTACTTTCTTAAGTACTGGATATATATATATATATATATATATATATATATATATATATATATATATATATATATATATATATATATATATATATATATAAGAAGCACGAGAGTAGAATAAATGCAGTAGAAATGCGGTCGCTAAAGGAGTATGTTAGGGCCGAATCTGAGTGACAGGGTAGAAAAACTGTGTGATAAAAGAAGAGTGTGGTTTGCAAGATGATGCAGTGACCAGGATTAAGAAAGGAATGCTTCGGTAGTTTGGTCATGTAGAAAGAATAAATGCGGAAAGACTGACAAAGCAAATATATGTTGCAGAAGTGAATGGAAGAGTCGGAAAGGGACGTCCTAGGCGGAAGTTTGTCGACCAAATTGGCGATATACTAAATATGGGCCAAATTAAGAGTACCCTTAACCGACGAGCATGTATGCGTAGGTATATGGATGTGGAAGAGGCGAGAGAGGTATGTTAGGATCGTGCTAAATGGAAGTCTGTAGTCTCTGCCTACCCCTGTGGGTGACAGGCGTGAGTGTTTATGTGTATGTTATGTTAGAGCCGTGGTAGCTCAGATGGTTAGCACTCGCCGTAAATTTCACAAAACGCGAGCAAACCGGGTACGATCCCCGCCGGCACTAATGAAATTGTTAATTGCAATTTTAAGTGCCGACTTACCACGTGCTCGGCGGTGAAGGAAAACATCGTGAGGAAACCTGCATGTCTGAGAAATAAGAAGAAAAAAATATTTCGAAGACATGTGAAGTTCGCCAACACGCATTGGGGCAGCGCGGCGGATACTTCCTTGCCTTAAAACCATCTCAGAAATTAGAGGAGACCTGTGCTCAGCAGTGGGATGTATATAGGCTGTAACTTTACTTGACTTTTTATATATATTATCCTTTGCAAGACTATATAATAACGGTTTAATATCTTCAAACCCCTATAATAGTAGTTAGACCTTTCGGTGGGAGTAAATAAGTTTTACTATTTTGTTATTACTTCACAATATTATATATATTCATAAATATTGTTAAATTATTATTATATCAAAATAGAATCACAACTACAGTTCTCAGCTGCAAAGTGCATAAACAACGGCTTTTTAGTATATGGTAAATAATCACGATTATGATCATAGCAATGTTGCATATGTACTGTTTTAATACTATCAAAGGCTGAAAACATCTTCCACGTGGAATTTAATTCACTGAACAATAATTATGCACTTCCGTGTTAGCATTCAGTACTTGAATTTTATACCGAAATAATAAAAATATCGATAAGTCTGTTTATATTCAGTAATAAAATTTATTTGTAACTGTTAAATAATTTAACGTTACACAAGTACATATAATTTAATTTAATTTAATACGTTCATTTGACTATATCTCATCAAACTTAAACTGTCAAGCGTGAAATAAAATGTCAAGGAGAGAAGACGCTTTCTGGCAGTGGACTTATATGAGCCGTTAAAGAAGAAAAAAGACGTGTTTACAAGTTACTCGGCATATGTTTTACTTAAGTCGTGTGTAGTTTTTCGATAGAGAGTCGTCACCTTAGTTAATATAAGTCTGTAGTGTATTATTACGCATCCAATAAATTTAACTCACCTGACACAGTTTTGACAATTACTTCCTCGTAAGTATCCCCTCGTTTAAATACTCCTTTGTAAACTCTACCAAATGTGCCTTCGTGTATGAGAATTTCCAATCGTATATTAGAACGCGGTGCAGTGAGGTAGCGGAGCTGTTCTGCTGGGTCAGTTATACGATCTTTTGCTGTTTGCTATCATAAGAAAGTAATAATTAGTGTACATAAAAACATTTAGAAAAATTCTTGACTAAAGAACTATGTTATAACTAGAGATCTAAAATTCGAGTGCAAATAAATGTACCTCATATCTTATTAAATCACAGTTTTTTTTTCCAAATAACCGGCACCAAATTTTTTTCTTTGGGAAATTAATTCAAGAGGTTTTATTAAACTGACTTATAAGTTCGTATTATAACTCTGTAATTATTATTCCCGATCACTAGTTATTACCTAAATGCTTATTCTTATTGCTTGAAAGTTGTTCGATAATTTCGATAAAATCAATTATTCAAATGGATTGAGGGCTTGAGCGAATATACAAACATTCTCTTCATACAATCTTGACCCGTGCAGATGGTTTATCTCCTTTGAGACTGACCACCGTGACCGAGATTCGGTTTGAAGGACATTCTTATTTTTATAAATATGAAAATAACATAAATTTACGTGGGTGTACGGAGTGTAATCAACTATTGTAACCAACTTCTACTCCAAATTACAACCTTGCTGTAGGACAATCTGTGTTCTAAAAAGTGGCTAACAAAATTAATCAAGTAATGTAGATCATTTCGGCGCTGCGCTCACCAGCCCTCCTGCTCATCGTGGTGATTATGGGCAACTAAAGGACTACCTGCCTGATGGTGAACTCTTAGAAAAACTACTGTCCCGCTGTGGGCATTAACAAGGACTGACTATGATACACGGCTTTATTTTCTAAGGGTTTTTTAGTATACAAGCATAGTTATATTCACTATTCCCTCACTCTCATAGTCCAATAGGACGAAATCCGACACGACCTGAAAGGGATCAGGTGCATGACTAACGGCTTTACGTATTTTCCGAGGCACGAGGGTGAAACACAGCCAACTTCCTGACTCCAGTTTGCTATTTTGTTTACATTTTTTTGGCTCAATATCAATATTATTTTTTGGCCTGGAATTCGAACCCTCATAATCTCATTAAGCCAACGAGACAACCATGTTTATAAGACTGTATACGCATCGTTGTTATTTTACATTTAATAACAATAGAATTTTATTTTACCTTCTACAATATCAATATCGCTTCAATTAAAATAAAAGTACTTTAAAATATTTTTCAAACATAAAACTTTAAGTGACCCGTACATATCGGATGTAATTAATATCGAATAAATAATAAGCATTCGCAAAAGTAAAAAAGTGCGATATAACCCGCTTCTAATTTTATTTTCATCTCGCAGCGCATCTCTGGCGTTCATTTTGCTTTTGTATAACAGTCAGGTGCGCAAGCATCTAATTGAATTTGCCAGTTTTAGAGATGCAGAACGATATCGTTAATCGAGTTCTGAAGCTAAATTTTGTTTTGAACTTGTATTGGATGTTGAGTAAGTAATACAAACTTTGCTTATGGTACAACCCAGTAAAGTTATCAAAGCTTGTTTTACAGAAGAGGAGACATTAAAGGCACAATTTTGTATAATAACTTATCTTGAAAAGTTTTTAAATTTGGTTGCTGAAAGGAACACTCCACTTGAAATTTGCTGGTCTGCTTTGTTTTTTATTGAATGGAGGTGGCTCAGACCCGTGCTTTGTGGCGTTCGTGCGGGTAACCTACGTTCAACAGTAGATATTAGGATGCAGTGTATTGATAATGATGATGATTGTTTTTTCACATTCGAAATTTAGAAATTATGGCTTCAAACCTACTCAAATTCAAATTAAAAAAAAACACACATTCAAATGTCTTTCATCTCAGTGCCCATATAAATGGCAATGAGTTTTCCAGTTGGGGTTTTTCGATGCAGGTGGATCAGGAGCATACTTTGTGGCCTATGTTCAGCAGTAAACTAATGACGAGCTGTAATGATGACGATGGTAATTGCTTATTTAACATTCGCATATTTTGAAACCATATAAACAGATTCAAAATTCATCTCAATGCCCTATATATGGAGCGCACTTACCACGGGTTTTGAAGAACAATATTATCTACGATGATGTAAAAAAATACCAGCTCAAGCGTTTTAATCCCAAAACACAGTCAATTTTGCCATTAAGTCTTAATTATGAATATAACTGAAATAGCAGATACACAGTATCATCGTCCTGATCGCCTGTGGTTGCCAACCCGAGGCGTGACAACTGGGGCACTTCTGAATGAGGCGATCTTGAGGAGTCATATATTTAGCAGTGAATTTTTGTATAAAATTGAAGTGATCAATCTACTAACAACCCATCTTATCATAAGTGGCTGCTGAAGTTTATTTACACCTCCAATAAACTTCTTGTTGCATGTATTGAATCATCATCATTACAGCTCTTCACAAGTCCACTGCTTTACATGGGCCTCCTCCAAGTCTTACCAGGTTGTTATTCTATCTAGTGAGGCGACGCCCCTTGGATTACGTATTACAGATTTGTAAGCTGAAGAGGCAATGGGCCGGTTAACGGAATGGGGTTGATCAAAGAACCGACAACCGATGGGGAAGAAGGGTTTAGAAGTAGCAGCCTCGTACTGGTAGGCGAAGTTTGGAACAGCCCTCTACTGGGTGTAATGAATGAATGCATCAAAATACACCATACGCTCAAAAGCCACCCAAACGATTGCTCTTTTTCAACACCGCTTGAGTAGACATGATTATAGACCAAGAGACGGAGCCAAAAAATGTCTCTGAATTTATAGACCTGATTTTCTCTGGTGATTATAATCATAATTTACAATAAAATGCTACGGTCAGTCAAGCGGATATTAGAACAGGTGTCTCAGGTGCGCGGTCAAACATGTCGTGACCACCGACGTAATAAAATCAATGTCTTAAGGCTGAAACTTATTGAACTAATTAATAATTATTAAAATTATGGTAGTCAGTCAACGTCCTATATACATTACAGCTGGTCAATCAGCTGTAATGTAGGTAGCGAGGTTTATAAGGGTGCATTTTTTTTAGTAACTAAAAAAGTAAATAAAAGGTCAGTCAACCATTCCGTAAAACAACGCCCGTCATTCAGTGAATAAGAAATGAATTTATTTTGCTCTCTATAGATATTACACGCGGCAGCTCGTCTTTTATTTACAATTTTCTTAAAATAAATTAAAATTATCATAACCATTTCAAGTACGACATTTATTTTAATAAGGCAATACCGTATCGCAGTTGTGCCTAAAAATCCCAAAAATTGATTTGAATGTAAAAATAAATAAATATATGAGTTAAAAATGTTTGAAAAGTTCATAAAGTTTCAGCTTTAAGAAATTGATTTTATGACGTCGGTGGTCACGACATGTTTGACCGCGCATCTGATACACCTATTATAATATCCGCTTGACTAACCGCGGCATTTTATTTCAAATTATGACTATAATCACCTGAGCAAAAACCGGGCTTAATAAATTCAGAGATTTTTTTGGCTCTGCCTCTCCGTCTATTATAGATGAAATGCTTCACAGCCTATATTTTACTATATATACTTTTGAAAAGGATATCCGGGTGACATTTAGTCCACACAAAGGTGTTCCTCTGTTTTTTTCCTGGATAATCATCATTTGTTTACAGCAGCTCGTGACGAAAAATATTGATCGCTGTAGAAATACAAAATATTCAAAAAACCAAATTTGATATATACTTGAGCATGGTAAGACATTATTATTATCTTTATAATCACAGATTTTCATGACAATAAATTGTTTCGCTAATGTACGTAGGATTTATATATAAATATACTAATACGTCTTGGACTTGTGTTGACTGACCTGAAGGTGTACTACGGTATCTGCTACTGGAACTCCTTGAAGAATTGAACTAGGTATGCTGAGTTTGGCTTCGTTTTTTGTTTTGAATCTCAAAAATAATAATATAGTAAAATTAAAAAAAAATATTTTCTATTGTAGATTGAGATTTTTTCTACATTTTTTTACAATAACATGAGCATTATGAGTCGTGAACTCTTTGATTTACTATAAGTTTAATTTTAGTCAGTGATTTATATCCCGCAATCAATTGTGGAGTTCATCACAAATATATTTATTGTCAAAATAAAATACAAAGTTGAGTCATTGACAAAGTTTAATCTGAGAGATTATACTAAGTTTCTTCATTAAATAGTCACTATATTGGGACCCGTTTACAATAAAGTAGCTGAAGTAATTAAGATATAGCGTAATTGGAACGAGAATTAAGTATTTTTAAAATTAAATATCATTAAATCAGTAAAATTAGTTTTAATAGTCTTGCAGTATTCACGTTAATGTAATAAATCATGAAAAGTGTAACGTTTTCCACGAGGTATTTGCTAAATGCCATATTTAATAAACACCTTGTGAAAGTGAGATTTTATCGATAATCTACGCTTCACTATAAGCTTTATGAATATATCATGAATTTAAGTCGGGCTTGGATACAACTAAAACAGTAATTTTGTACTAATGTTGGATTCCGGTGGAAATCGAACTGCAGACCTTTTTCGAACGATTAAATAAATCTATAAAACGGTCCGTATGACAAAAGCATGTGGTGGTAGCGTAAGATAATGCACTACTAGCGTAAGAGAATGCCTCACAGCCTGTAATTTTACTCTATCCTTGTCCGAGACGTTCTTCACAACATGTAGTACGCCGCATGTCATGCCAGCATCACAATTTATCCAAGCACCTAAAAATTTTGAAAGTATATCAACCCGTTTTTGTGCCAGTTTTGAGTATAATTGTGTTGTAAAAATCAAATATGTTTAGTGTAAAATTAAATGTTTTATATCTAAAAACAACCATAGATTAATTTATTTATTACGTGCCTGCTTGGTAATAGTTGGATTATATACAATAAAAAGTACTTGTAACTAATAAATATTGTCAACGTAAGAGATGTGATGATAAGACAGATAGATGTAAAAATACCTATATCGTCAACATAAGAGAACCCCACATGGTCACCAGACATCAAGGTAACAAAATATATACCAACACACCAAACATTTAAAAATTAGGACAGTAGATTC